TAGCTCCGTATGGTGATTCTGGAGTTGGGAGCGCGATCGAAAGTGAATTCGGAGGTCCGTGGGTCATTTTGGAATCATTTGGCTAAAGATAGAAATTTGAAGGTTTTTGAGAAGTTTGACCGGAAGTGAACTTTTTGATATTGGGGTCGGAATCCGATTTCGGGGGTCGGAGTAGGTCCGTAATGTCAAATATGACTTGTGTGCAAAATTTGGGGTCAATCGGGCGTGATTTGATAGGTTTAAACATCGAGAGTAGAAGTTTGAAGTTCTAAAGTTCATAAAGCTTGGATTGGAGGTCGATTCGTGGTTTTAGCATTGTTCGATGTGATTTGAGGCCTCGAGCAAGTCCGTAATGTATTTTGGGACAGGTTGGCATGATTGGTTGGGGTCCCGGGGGCCTCGGGTGGATTTCGGGTGGTTAACGGATCAAAAATGGAATTTTGGAAAAGGATGAAGTTGTTGGTATCTGGTATGACCGCACCTGCGAGGGTTTGACCGCAGAAGCGGCTAGGACGACGCAGATGCAGTTTTGGGGTCAAGAGTGAAGAGACCGCAGATGTGGTCGTGGGGCCGCAGAAGCGGGACCGCACCTGCGATGGACGAGGCGCAGAAGCGGAAGGGAGGCCAGGTGAGCATAACCGCAGAAGCGGAAGGTTGGCCTGCACCTGCGGAACCGCAGAAGCGGTCATAGGACCGCAGGTGCAGAAAGTGCTGGAGGCAGTGGCTCTTTTAAAAATCGGGGGTTTGGTTATTTGCCCCTATTTTTCATTTGGTGTGGGCGATTTTGGAGAGCTTCAAGTGGGATTTTTCATCATCAACGATAAGGTAAGCTAATCTCATCCATCTTGAGTTAAATACATCGATTATGTATGGATTTTAGCATGTAAATTGGTAAAAATTTGGGGTTTTGGTAGAAAGACCTAGAAATTTATATTCTTGGAATTTGGCCACGATTTTGGGTATGGAATTTAGAGAACATTATATATTTGAGTTCGTGAGGCTATGGGTAAACTTATTCTTCAAAAATTTTAGAAATCCGGGCACGTGGGCCCGAGGGCGTTTTTGTCAACTTTCCGATCGGGGTTAGGAATTGTTAGAAATTGGATTAATATGAGTAGTTTATCGTATATTAATGGATTTGCATAATCATTGTCTAGTTTTGGGAGTATTTAGCATCGATTCAAGTCTTCGTAAGGGCGTGGAATGCCGGTTATGGATCTTCGGAGCGAGGTGAGTCTCCTTTCTAACCTTGTAAGAGGGAATTGTCCCATAGGTGAAATAATTTGTTATGTGCTCCTATTAGTGGGGGCTACGTACGCACGAGGTGACGAGAGTCCGTGCGTAGCTACTAATATGTGTAAGTCCGGGTAGTCTAGGACCCAAAAAGCATGCTATACTTGGAATACTTGTAATGTTATTGACAGTATGAATTGCTTAAATCTTATCGAACTGGTAAATGAAATTCTAAGAGGATTAAACTTATTACTTAAATCATTAAAAGAGAATTGGCTTCTAATGGGACAAATATTCCCCGTAAAGTTCTTAATTTGCTGTTGAGCATGTGTTTCTATGTGTACATGCGTCGCATGTATGGTACGCGAGCAGGGTGATTGTTTATTTAAATTTGGCCGCGACGCATGTATGATTCGCGAGCGGGGTAGTAGATGCATCTATGGTTCGGGCTGTTCGACCCTCGGCAGTGCACATTTTAAATATTATTGGATCGGGCCGTACGACCTCGGCATGAGTTGCGCATGCTTGTATTGCTTGCTTTGATATTTGTTGATACTAATATCTGCTCTCCCTACTTGAGAAAATTTGCTAATTAATGGATTATAAATTCGGAGACTTTTAATAAAGATGAACTTTTACCTGTTTAGTAATTTACTTGAATCTACTGTGGTTATTAATAAATCCGTGAGCCGTCGCATTAATAATAATATTACTGGACCTTTAGTAAGTGTCGAAGTTGCCATCTCGTCTCTACTTCTTCGAGATTAGGCGGGATACTTACTGAGTACACATTGTTTTTGTACTCATACTACACTTCTGTGCATTTTTGTTGCACAGGCACATGCGCCACTAATGGCTTAAAAGGCGTAGCAACATGGTTGACACGAAGACTAGGTGAGCTGTATTTCCTCGAGGCGACCCGCAGCTAGTATAGTCTCTCTCAGGATTCTATTCATTTTCTGTCCAATTGTATTTCGGACAGCTGTTGTACTTTATTCGATTTATTTTTCTTTCTTGATCAATAATTAATAATTATATCATTTGTATATCACAGTGTATAACATAATAATAATGTGTATATCAAAAAAGATTATTAAAATTTTATTTTCCTTCTTTGTATAACACATTTCAAATTGAAAACTCAAGTTCAAGACGACTCCACATGTGTATCCCCTATTGTAACCTGTGTATATCTCTATGTACATCAGTGATATCTCGTGTATATTATGTGTATCTATGTATATCCATGAAAATTTGTGTTATGTATACGATATACAATGTGATATACATGGGCGTCCATAAAAAAATTATGTTGTATACATGATATACAAAGTGATATACACAGACGTCCTTAAAAACTTGTGTGTGATATATACTGATATACACGATATACAACGTGATATACACATGTCGTAGTTGGATTTTTATGTCTAATTTTTTACCTGAAACCAGTCTAAATCACTTCTAATCTTGCTCAAATTTTGCATATATCCTCGTTTAGGTATTTTCAACCAATTTCAATCACACACACTCATTCAATCCAACCAAAAAAAGGAAGAGAGAAGAAAACAAAGTTGAAATATATTTTTTTTCTCTCTTAATTTTTGCTAATCTTGCTCAAATTTTATATATAGTCTCGTTTAGGTATTTTCAACTAATTTCAATAGCACCCACTCATTCAATCCAACCAAAAAAAAAGTGAGAGAAGAAAAACAAAGTTGAAATATATTTTTTCTCTCTTAGTTTTTGCTTCTGATTTTCTTTGATGTGAGATCAACCTTACCTTTTCATCCCATTGTTTTTTTTTTTTTTTTTTTGCATAATTTGCAAGAATTTTTGCTAAACTATGAGAGCAAAAGAGAAGAGATAGAAGAAGAAATACAAGGAGAGAAAGGGGGAGGAAAGCCAAAATAAGCGTGTAGTTTTTTTTGAGAGAGAATATAAAAAAGAATAATTTTTTTAAGATTTAATTATATAATACCAATTGTTTGGGGCTATCTTTACCAAATCTTATATAAGGCTAAAAGATTGCCAATTTGTGTTAAAGTGTTGTTATAGGATTTCTTCCAGGAATGGTGTTCTTTTGCCACGTTTGACAACGTGGAGAAGTTTTGTGGGCCATTTGATGACGCGTCGCGTTCTAATTGATTAGCATTACATCATCAGTGGGCCCAACCAATACACAATTTATTGTGAAGACCCATATTTTGGATTTCGGACCCACTGCAGGATTTTTGTTCCGTCAGGTTGACTTTGATTTTGTTCCTCTCTTTTCTGCGGCGACTCCTCGCGACCTCCGGCGGAATCATTTCTGTAAGTTGTCGTTTTGTCTCTTTCGTTATCTCTCTCCCTCTCCAAATGGATTACTTCCTTTACAGCACTCTTTGTTTTTTGGTAAATAGATCAATCCTTTGTTTGTTACTGTTTCTACTTGCATACAGTTCTCTGTGATTTACTATTACTGTTTGTGACCAAGTGAAAATGGCTTAAAACTTCTGCTATTGAAAAAGGATTAATAAAATTATCCCTGTTTGAGTTGCAGTAGCTATACCATTCCGGTTCTGTATCTTAATAATTTTACGGAATTAAGCGCTTCGATAAGTGTTTGTCTGTTTTGTATAATAATATCGTAATGTACTTTGTATTGTCCGATTCTCAAAAACAAATTTCGCTCGTTCAATCCAAATTTTATTCCCTTTTTGGTTTTCTCGAGTTAGAGAAATATATTTGACTAAATTAGTCGATCGTGCATGTAAGCGGGGTCCAGACACCACAGTTATAAAAAATTATTTGACTAGAAGTTTCAAATATATTTTGTCGTCATGTTTTACGACTTAATCTAATTTTCAAATATCTAAAGTTTTTTATTCAGCAACTGACTGTTAAAAACGATGAAGGCGAAAGGTCAAATTGACACTCGAAAAGTGGGGGGGAAAAAGGATTTATTATGGAAAGGAGATTTAAGAAATGGTGTCCAAAATATAAGCGCAAGAGCAGTTTCAAAAGCTCCAATTTTAAGTTTTTCCCAGAAGTGGTTTCAGGTCCAAATATATGAACTAAAAATACTTTCAAATGTTTATCAAAAACTTAGAAAATCACTTTTTCATGCTAAGCTTATTGTTCAAATGCACCAGTCTCAAAAAGGAGCCATGGCCATAATAAATGTAATATTATCTTTATATTGTAAACTCATGAAACTGTGCCATTTTAAAGTTTTGATCTCTACTGTTTTGTTTTAAAGTTTTAAAGTTATTGTTATTGATTTATGTAACACAATCAATAGTTAGTTTAGTTAGCTTGAAATCAGTGTATTAGTCAGTCAGTATAGTAACAGTTATAGCTTAGCTTAGTCAAAAGATTTTTTAGTCAATGTATATATACACATATACGTGTACTGTTGAACACAATATAGAATGAAGAAATATTCTCTGAAAATATCTTTATCTCTCCACTCTATCTTCTCCTCTCTGTTCTCTCAGAACATTCTAGAGAACTCCATGGGAGCTTCATCCAAGCTCACTTGCAATCTTGACATGGTATCAGAGCAAGGACGTTAGCTCGGATTCCTTCAACGTCTTTCAAATATCGATCGAAATTTCATTTTCTCGTTCAGTCAATTTCTAGGGCTTCGGTAGCTGTCGCCCAAATCTACCGTCAATTTTAGGGCTTTGGTAATTGTCACCCAAATTTTGGAGGCGTTCCTCTTACAGATCGAAATCTCAAGTCTAGTCAAGATCTATTAGGTTCGTTAGATTGAAGCTTTGAATATGGCTTTCGATCAACTCAGAGAGACAACTCCTGGCTCAAGCAGGAATGATCAATTGACCGTCGATACAAGTAATCCCCTCTATATTCACCCTTCAGATAGTCCTGGCATGATTTTAGTATCAGTTCCATTCGATGGAACTGGATATCGCTCCTGGAGAAGAAGCGCTTTGCGAGCCTTATCGGTTAAGAATAAATTGGGGTTTATTACCGGAGAACTTAGGAAACCTAGTTCTGATTCGCCTCAGTTTCGACTATGGGAGAGGTGCGATAACATGGTAACCTCGTGGATCCTCAACTCCCTTGCCAAGGAAATATCTGACAGCGTAGAGTATGTGAATGGCTCAGTGGAGCTGTGGAGAGAATTAGAGGATCGATATGACCAGACGAATGGGGCAAAATTGTATCAGATTCAGAAAGAGATCAACGATCTTATGCAAGGTTCCCTAGACATCACTACATATTATACAAGGATGAAGAAATTATGGGAAGAATTGAACACCTTAAGTGCCAAATCTCAGTGCACTTGCAATTGCATTTGTGGAGCAAAAGAAACCATGCACAAAGTAGAACAGGATCGACGACTCATCCAGTTTCTAATGGGATTGAACGAGGTCTACACAATAGTGCGAGGAAGTATTCTCATGATGAAGCCACTGCCCTCTATGGCACAGGCTTTCTCACTACTGATTCAAGAGGAGAAACAAAGGGAATTCAAGCCTACTAGTCAGCTAACCCTGGATTCCACTTCATTACATGTGAGTGCAAGCTCACAAAATCCAAATCCATTTGGGGCTAGAAATTTCAAAACACACTACACACCTAATAACAACAACAGGGGTCGACCATTCTGTGATTATTGCAAAAGACCAGGGCATACAAAGGAGAAGTGCTACAAGTTACATGGGTATCCTCATGGGAATTCTTATAGTAATCAAAATCCCAATCGCAACAACACCAGTGCTCAATCATATAACCAAGGAAACAATCAGAACTACAGGTTCAACAAGGGAAAAGGGTCTGTGGCTAATGTGCATGGAACCCCAGCTGACATGATTCATGAGAATGTGAATGAACAAGAACCACAAGATGGCAATCAGAATATCAACCTCACAAAGGAGCAGTATGGGCAGATAATGAATTTGCTGCAGCACTTCCATATAGGACATGCATGAGGCTCTTCCAGCAACTTGGATGTCACAAGTGACAATGCCAACTTTGCAGGTATTGTTGTTTGTACTTCCTCCATTAATTTTGACAAACCTTCATGTAAATGTTTTGAATCAAAAGCTGATCTTTGGATTATAGACTCAGGAGCATCCAATCATATGACCTTTAACAGATATGCACTTAGTAATATCACCAAATTACCCTATCCTTTATTAATAAGCCTACCTAATGGATATAGAGTAAAGGTTCTTGAATTTGGAGATGTGATACTTTCTTTAGAAACTATTCTACATAGGGTCCTTTATGTCCCATCTTTCAAGTACAACTTGATTTCTGTTCATTCTCTTACAGTACACCTTAGATGTATTGTGTTCTTCAGTAATACACTTTGTCTGATGCAGGCCCCTTCAGTGAAGAGGCCTCAGGTGATTGGTAGTAGCAAAGAAGGTCTGTATTACCTCTGTTCCAGATGTTTGAAGGGTAAAGGGATTGTCTTACCTTCTGTTGTTTCTTCCTCCTATTGCAAATGCATTCCTGTTCCTCAATTTCTAAATAGTCATGAGTCTGTAGGTCATACTCATTCATGTCACACCTTTCAAGATGTAAATACTTCCACTTCAATCAATAAGAATGAGTCTTCTTGTATGTCTGATAAATATGATGTAAATTCTCTATGGCATAATAGGCTTGGCCATGTTCCTTTTATTAAAATGAAAGGGATATCCTCAATCCCAGTGAAATTTGCACCTAGGCAACCCTTTATCTGCCCTGTATGTCCTATGGCAAGGCAAACCAGACTACCTTTTTCCCAAAGAACCAGCACTACCTCCAAGTTATTTGAATTAGTTCACATGGATATATGGGGCCCTTACCATGTCACAACCCATGATAATTACAAATATTTTCTTACATTAGTGGATGACTTCAGTAGATCCACCTGGACACACCTGTTAAGCTGCAAAAGCAATCCCTTCAAGCCTTAAAAGCCTTTGTAAACATGATTGAAAATCAATTCAGTACCTCCATAAAGGCCATCAGATCTGATAATGACCTGGAATTCACTAGCCATGAAGCCCTTTCATTCTACCAATCTAAAGGGATCATACATCAGAAAACATGTCCCTACACACCACAACAAAATGGTGTGGTAGAAAGAAAACATAAATACCTACTTGAAACTGCCAGGGCTCTCATGTTTCAATCCAACTCCCAACCAAATATTGGGGAGAATGCATCCTAACAGCAACTTATTTGATAAATAGGTTGCCTACCACTTACCTCAATAACAAATGCCCTTTTGAGCTATTATACAAAAAGAAACCTTTTTACTCCCACTTGAGAAGCTTTGGTTGTTTATGTTACCCCACTTTACCCAAAGTACATAGAGACAAACTTGAACCAAGAACCACCCCTCACATCTTTATAGGCTATCCCTTTGGAACAAAAGGATACAAGGTACTGAGCCTAGTTACCAAGAGAATTCACATTTCTAGAGATGTAGTCTTCCATGAAAATATTTTTCCATTTTCCCTAAATTCTGAAAATGCTTCTTTTCCTGCTGTTCTTAGAAGAGTCTCTTTTCCTAATTACATTGAAGACAACAGTCAGGTTCTACTTATGGATTCAGGACAAAGGTCTGTTGGTATCACATCTCCAGAAACAGAACATCAATCTGAAATATCCTCTCATGATGGTCATGATACACCATCTCCAAACACCACTGAACCTCCCTTCATCAATGAGATCAACCTACAGCTTTCACCTTCTAATGACACACACACTCACATAGAAACACCACCTCTTAGGAAATCAAGCAGAAGTCACCAAATCCCCACTTATCTACAAGACTATGTTTACCAGTTACCTAATAATAATTCTGCTCAACTTTCCAGTTCTTCCTCTTCACTAAAGGCCCTATTTTCCAATCATCACCACATTACTCCTGCTGCTCTATCTACTGAAAGTCAGCTCTTGATACAAAATGTATGTCATGATAGTGAGCCATCTTCATATGAGGAGGCAGCCCTCAACCCTGCTTGGCAGGCAGCAATGACACTAGAATTTGAGGCCCTTCATGCTAACCACACTTGGGATTTAGTCCCTCTGCCAATTGACAAGCAAGCAATAGGTTGCAAATGGGTGTATAAAATAAAACATAGAGCTGATGGAAGTGTTGAGAGATTCAAAGCTAGGTTAGTGGTAAAGGGTTATACTCAACAGGCTGGGATTGACTATACAAAAACCTTCTCCCCTGTGGTGAAAATGACAACTGTTAGAGCTTTAATTACAGTAGCTGTTAAGAAGGGGTGGAATATATTTCAACTAGATGTGAACAATGCATTCCTCTATGGAGACTTAAATGAGGAAGTCTATATGGAACCCCCTCCTGGACTGGTAGTGAATCAACAGGGTTCAAGGAAAATTGTGTGCAGATTAAATAAGTCCCTCTATGGACTTAAACAGGCCAGTAGACAATGGTACGCTAAATTGACTGAAGCACTGTCCACGAGAGGGTACCAACATTCTGAAAATGACCATTCCCTGTTTTGCAAGAAAACTCCTACCTCTGTTATTTTTGTGGGTGTGTATGTTGATGATATTATAATCACTGGGACTGATCCAATAGAGATTGCAGACTTAAAGGCTTTTCTAGATCAACAGTTCAAAATAAAGGATCTGGGAAGACTGCATTATTTCTTGGGATTAGAGATCCTATACAAACCAGATGGGATTCTCATTTCTCAAAGGAAGTTTGCCCTAGACTTGTTGAAAGAGTATCAAGTATATGACTACAGTAGTGTCTCTTCACCCCTTGATCCTACCATAAAGTTGAAAGCACAAGAAGGAAACCTCCTGCCAGATCCTCAATATTACAGGAAGTTAGTGGGAAAACTCAATTTCCTCACTAACACCAGGCTGGATATAGCTTATAGTGTGCAACTCCTGAGCCAATTCATGCAAGCACCAAGAGATACTCACTTAACAGCTGCATTTCACCTCCTAAGATACTTAAAGAAGGAACCCACTCTAGATGTTTTCTTTTCAAATAATCCTGACTGTACAATCAAGGCATTTTGTGATTCAGACTGGGCAGCCTGCCCAGACTCCAGGAGATCTGTCACTGGTTACATAGTTCTGGTGGGAGATAGCCCTATTAGTTGGAAGTCCAAGAAGCAAGAGACTGTCTCCTTGTCCTCAGCTGAGGCTGAGTATAGATCCCTGAGAAAGGTAGTTGGTGAATTGGTCCGGCTAAACAGGTTATTTGTTGAACTCACTGTTATCCAGTCATGTCCTATGCAGGTGTTTTGTGCTAGTCAGTCGGCTATACACATTGCTCACAATCCAGTGTTTTATGAAAGGACAAAGCACATTGAAGTTGATTGCCATTTTGTTAGGAACAAATTGCAAGAAGGCCTAATTTCTCTACATCATGTACCTACTCACCATCAGTTGGCTGACATTCTCACAAAGGCTCTCACAGGGGTCAAGCACTCAGCTGTCCTCAGCAAGTTGGCTGTGAAGACCTCACTTCCAACTTGAGGGGGGGTATTGAGTATAGTTATTGTTATTGATTTATGTAACACAATCAATAGTTAGTTTAGTTAGCTTGAAATCAGTGTATTAGTCAGTCAGTATAGTAACAGTTATAGCTTAGCTTAGTCAAAAGATTTTTTAATCAATGTATATATACACATATACGTGTACTGTTGAACACAATATAGAATGAAGAAATATTCTCTGAAAATATCTTTATCTCTCCACTCTATCTTCTCCTCTCTGTTCTCTCAGAACATTCTAGAGAACTCCATGGGAGCTTCATCCAAGCTCACTTGCAATCTTGACAGTTATTGTTAGGGAAGCCCAAAAATGTATGTCCTTAAAATTTTTCTAAGTGTATGCAGACATTGTAATATTTGTCTAACACTGGATTCTAGCTTAAACAATACCACAATACTACAGGTAATTATCATTAAAAGATTGTGAAGATCACAATGATTGCATTACTCAAGCGTATAATTCAATTTAAGTTAGTTACATTTGCTAAATGTCTAACACCTAACTGAGCCGTCAAAGATTTAAAATAAAAACATAGGAAACTCTTAGGATATTCAGAGTTATTGTAGGAACAACAGAACCAAAATAATCGCGCACAATATTTAAAGAAAAGAAAATGAAAGAAAATTTTGAGTAAGTGAGATGCTAAATCAATAATTCTCCCTATATCCTATTTGTGCGATACAATTTGACTCAACGAAGATCTATTATTTGTTTCACTTGTGAATGTTTCTCGGAGTGTTAAAAGGACTTCTGGTAATTTTAATGAGTTCTGTATTCATGTTCTCAGTTTCAAAATTCTTCATATGAACAAACAACAAGGTGTTTGAATAATTGGTTTCTTTTTCCTTGTCTAAAACGTCAATAAAGCAATTACCTGGTTTGAAACACTATTCATGTGATCTTACTGGCTTTCAAGACAACCTGAGAAAATGAGTTTGAGGCATTAGCCAATAATCTCTTTTGACAGATTCAGGACGGAACATTCTGTAACTTCCATCTCATTTCCTAGTTTTATTATTTTCGTTACACAGATAGCAGAGAGCAAAGCTCATACAACGATTTTGTTCTCTTCTAATTCTTTTAAATCTGAATTGTAAAAAGATCATTGTTTGTTGATTTGTTTAATATAAAGACGCAACAAATGTGAGACTGCATCATAAATTGGGATGGACAAAGAGCATTTGCAACCGGAAAAGTAAAGCATGAATATGAAACCAATTGGGTAAAAGTTTCTTCTTTGATTGTTTAATATTGGTCAGCCAAGTCTAACTTGGGTGGAGATAGATGAATCTTTCTGTTGCAGTTAGCTCTATGACAATGTTGTCCTTTTAGTCTAGGCATATCCTGCTTATTTCCTCTGCTGCTTATTGGTTGATGCAATCATGCTTTGACAAATGTCACCAATAGATCTATTCAATATTTATCATATGTCACTTGCAGGATTCTCTTATTACCGTCCTCCATTCTTATTCTTTGCCTTAGATTATTTTGTAAGAAGGTTTTTATCAAGTGACGAAGTTAGATTGCAAGATGAAATCAAATATATCTATTTCTTGGAGCATCATAATGCCATCACAGAAGATTGAAAGTGGGCATACTGTCACGGTGCATGATGTAGCAATGGATTACTATGGTAAGCGTCTGGCAACAGCTTCTTCAGACTGCACCATTAAGATAACAGGGGTTAGCAGCTCGTCCTCGCAGCAACTGGCTACTTTAAGTGGTCACCAAGGACCAGTGTGGCAAGTAGCTTGGGCTCACCCTAAGTTTGGGTCAATCCTCGCTTCCTGTTCTTCTGATGGGAAGGTAATTATTTGGAAGGAAGGCGCTCAAAATGAGTGGAGCTTAGCACATGTTTTTGATGACCATAAAGCTTCAGTCAATTCCATAGCTTGGGCTCCTCATGAGTTGGGACTTTGTTTGGCTTGTGGATCTTCTGATGGGAACATTTCGGTTTTCACTGCAAGATCAGACGGTGGTTGGGAGACATCACGGATCGATCAGGCTCATCCAGTTGGTGTTACATCTGTTTCCTGGGCGCCATCGATGGCTCCTGGCTCTCTTGTAGGCTCCGATATTCTTAATCCTGTTCAGAAGCTTGCTTCTGGTGGCTGTGACAATACAGTTAAAGTGTGGAAGCTGTTTAATGGAACGTGGAAAATGGATTGCTTCCCGGCTCTTCAAATGCACACTGATTGGGTCAGGGACGTCGCTTGGGCCCCTAACTTGGGGCTACCAAAAACAACTATCGCGAGTGCTTCTGAAGATGGAAAGTAATTATATGGACCGTGGCTAAGGAAGGCGATCAATGGAAGGGTAAAGTTTTGAAGGATTTTGGTTCCCCCGTTTGGAGAGTATCGTGGTCACTAACGGGAAACATATTGGCTGTGGCAGATGGGAATAACAATGTGACATTATGGAACGAAGCAGTAGATGGCGAATGGCAACCACTGACAACAGTAGATTCATAAAGTTAAACACATTTTTCACCATCTCCCTTAAGTCCATATTATTGCTGCATATTCACTTATTTTGGGGGGTTATATCATATTAATATAACTCTTGTTATTTTCCAATGCACAAATGAATAAGAAAACTTGAAGTTGTTCATGAATTGTCGATTGTCATAAAATGGATTTTGCTTTATCATGTCAATGTGCTATATAACACCATGATCAATGTGATGTTTGATGGAAGAATAGATATGTTTGAGCTTTCTAATTTTCTTTTTTACCGACTGCGACCCTGTAATTTTGCAGCCGTTTCGTCAACCAGATGAATACCAGGATTTAGTTCCTTGATAACTTTTTACTCCTGTTCAAATGGGCGGGTTGGGCTGCTTTTGGGCAGGTGAATAAAATGTGGAGGTCAGTGACCCGTCCAAAAGCTACTTGGATTGAGATGGCCTAAAATATGGGTCAAAGCTCAACCCGCAACTCTTATAAAGCTTTAATTAATGGGATTTTGGCATAGTTACCCACAAAAACAAAACTATTTACCCTCGTCTATCCATTTGTTTTTCTACCCATAAACTAATTACATTTCCTACCCATAGTAGGTTTTGTGGGGAATTTTTCTTTATTCTCCAATTCTTTTTTATTTTTATGCTTCTTTTCTATTCTTTTCTTTTTTCTTTTCTCCTTTTCTTTTTTCTCGTTTTCTTCTTATTTTTTTCTTTTTTCCTATTCTAATTTCATTTAACTTCTTTTTTTTATATATTCTTTTTCTCTTCATAATCTAATTTCATTTACTATTTTCAGTATTTTTTATTATTCTTTTTTTTATATTATTACTAAAGAAAAATCAAATTGTGTACCAATTAAATGTACTTAGCTAATACAACCAAAAAAATATTAACTAACATATGATACCAGTATAACATATAGTTATACCAACAGGGTATANATATATATATATATATATATATATATATATATATATATATATATATATATATATATATTTTGCATTTTCAATTTGCCTCTCACGCTGGGTAAAAGCTTAAAGCAAATTAAAAGGGAAAAGGCAAGTGAATTTACGGGTGATAAGTATACAATTATAGTAGATTGTATACTATTACAGCATATTGTTACAGTATATTGCATATTATTACAATATACTATAACAATATATTGTATACTATAATAATATACTGTTGCAGTATAACTATATACTCCTATAGTATATTGTATACTGTAGCGGTATACTGTTAGGTAACTGTGTTTGTAGTACAGCTATATACTCCTACAGCATATTGCATACCGTAGCGGTATACTGTAGCTGTGTTCTTCTTCGATTTTTCAACTGAAAATTTCAATCTCAATCACCTCAAATCAGCTCCAAATGCAATCAAATTTCAGTATGAACTTCCAGAAGGTACTATAAGCAACATTTAACAGCACCCACTTTGAATCAAACAAGAAATCTTCAAAAATAAAATTGAGCTTCAAGCCCAACAATGGTGGATATTCAAATACACACAAATATTTAGATCTGGGAAGCTTAATCGAAGATACTATAAGCAATATTTTATAGCATCACATCGAATCAAACAATAAATCTTCAAAAAAACTATTTTCTTCCTTAAAACTTTACTATAACATATAAACTGAAAGTAAATACTATTGAAAAAAGAGATAGAGACAGAGGGGGTTGAGAGTGAGCGAGAAGTTGAACTAATATTTTCGGAATGGGATTTTGACACAGTTGCGGAGTTGAGCAAAGAATTGGAGGAAGGTAAAATGAGGAAGAAGAAGAAGAGGAACCTAATAAAGGCGGGTAAATAGTTTGGGGCGCATGGATAGGAGTAGTAAATAGTTTGGGCATGGGCATCAAAGGGTAAATAGTTTGAAATTAATGGGTATAAACTGAGATTTTCTCTTGATTAATGTGTATTTTTTATGGATTGTTTAATTACCAAATAAGAAATTTTCTTTTATTATGGTCATATATCAAACAAATGGACTGGATTCAATGAATGAAGGGAAATTTTCGTTCCTATACCATATAGGAAACTATATTACCAAATATGTTCATAGTTTGCATATTACCCTTCATGCTAATAGTATTTCTACAAAATATAGACAATGCATTAAATAAGGAATCATTGTAGCTGTAGGCTTCCTTCTTTAGGCGCGCTAAAATTGGGGGATTAAATATTCTTCCAGATCTTCCACAACGCAAGTCACGCATATTAATCTTCTTCGTCAGTTTCGTTTCAAATTTAGCGTCTCTACATCAAACGCAATTATTCTTCTACAATTCAAAAACGAATTGATTATTCTTCTACAATTCAAAAACGAATTGATTATTCTTCTACAATTCACAAATCAAAAACGACTAAATCTTCTACAGTTCTTCTACATCAAACGCAATTATGTCCAAATTTCAGTAATACAAAGCAAAGGAAAAGAGAGCAGCAATTCCACCATTGACAGCCATTAAAAAGCTTTGAAGCTTTGAATTCAAATTTGGGTTTTCAAAAATTATTATTTGTTTGGATTGGGTGTTGTTGCAAATAATTGGGAATATGGTTTGGAGTTTATATCTCAATTTTGAGGGATTTTGGTGAAGATTAGACTTGGTTTTGGCTGAATTTCGGATTGAAACTTGAAGAAGAAGAAGAAGAAGAAGAAGAAGAAGAAGAAGAAGAAGAAGAAGAAGAAGAAGAAGAAGAAGAAGAAGAAGACATACATTATATTGCAGAAATTGTAGAAACATTGTAGATAAATTGTAGAAAAATTGTATTCTGTTGTTTATTTATTTTTCTTTTATTCATTTAACTATTGTATGAAAGTTGAACAACATTGTATAAAAATTATATTTAGGTGGTATTATATTGTAGTTGTATATAACTTAGTAGAAATAATGTACGAAAATTGTAGATAATTTGTAGATAAGTTGTATAATGTATAATTAGTTGTATGAAAATTGTTTTTCCTATGTATAAATCAGATACAAAATACACAAAAGACATATTGTATAAATTTTGTATAAAATTTGTATGTAAGTTTATCTTATTGTAGTTGTATTTCACTGGGTGGAAATAATGTGTGAAAGTTGTAGAAAATTGTAGATAAGTTGTATTCCTCTATAACAAGAGGTATTCCTCTATAACAAGAGATGTTGGCATATCAAGTAACTTTAGTGTTCCAGACGAAAATGCATGAAAATAAAGATAAATTCTGTTATGAACAGTTTGTAGAAAATTTGTAGATGATTTGTAGAAACATTGAAATTCTGTATTTTCATATTAATTTTTCAAATGATATGTAGTTTTATTAGATTAAATGTAGAAATCAAGCCATTGTGAGTCTTATTTGACTCATTCCTCACATTCAACCTATTCTACAAATTCACGCCTCTTTAAATACAATACAACCATACTTTCTTGAATTTAAAGGTATAACAATATATATAATTTAAAAAACATCTTCTCCTCCGCACAAGTTAGCTCCAAAACAGACGAAGTGGAATAACAAGCTCTCATCAAAACTTTTAACACAAAAACACAAAAGCTCAAAAATAAATAAACAACAGTCTACAATTTTTCTACAAATTTTCTACAATTGCTGCAATATAATGTATGTCATGTCGTCGTCGTCTTCTTCTTCTTCTTCTTCTTCTTCTTCTTCTTCTTCTTCTTCTTCGAGTTTCAATCTGAAATTCTGCCAAAACCAAGTCTAATCTTCACCAAAACCCCTCAAAATTGAGATATAAACTCCAAACCATATTCCCAATTATTTACAACAACACCCAATCCAAACAAATAATGATTTTTGAAAACCCAAATTTGAATTCAAAGCTTCAAAGCTTTTTAATGGCTGTCAATGGTGGAATTGTTGCTCTCTTTTCCTTTCCTCTTATATTACTGAAGGAACCCGAAATCATAACCATCAAATCGACCAGGCTTGTGCTCATCTTCCCCGGGCACAAAAACATTGGGACAAAATTGCGGAGGTGCCGACAGTGCCTTGGCTATGGAAGAAATAATGATTTTGATACAGAAATCATGGGTGTGGGAGGGAAACGTGGGTGAAGGTGTGGGAATAGGAGAGAGAAACGTGGGGGAGTGGTATTAGAAAGAATATACGGTACCATTAAATTAGGAGTGTAATTAAAACCCTTAAAAACCACTAATGATATATAATTGGTAATTAGGTATACTAAATGTAATTATATCAAACCTTAAACATTGAGGGTAATATAATTTCTTAATATGCATAGGAATGTAAAAATTCCATAAATGAATGGGTTAAATCGGTTTGGCTCAAATTGCCATCCTCACTCCTGTAGTATTATAGAGGTCCTTGATATAAAGCAGCAATTTTGATACATTAGGAGAGTTGAATAAAATATTTATTAGATTTACGTTTCTATGATGGCAAAGCATCTTTAGCATATGTTAAACTAAATTGCTCCTGTTAAGTGTTTTTTTTTAGAACCTTTTTCTATTACCAAGGGAGGGGGGAAGGGAGACACTACAAATGGAACACACTTATTGTGGGATGGAAAAGGGATAAAAAGTACACATATACTAGAAATATCTTAATTGTATTCTCAGTTATACATTAAGGTAATTCATATAATCATATCCTTGTCAATAGCAGATTGCTTTTTACTTATTTTTTGACCTTAATAGAGCTCTAACATAAAGTATGACAAAGGATTTGCACCATGCAAAGAGCAAAAGGGTAAATTGGAACCTCTTTGTCAGAAGTATTTTAATACATTGTATTAACCTAGTTCATGATATAGCTCCGTTTAAGTTAAGGACAGATACGAATCAATTTATTGATGACAAGGATATGAATGACCCATATCCCTGAAGTATAACAAAAAAGAACGCTAAGATACTGAGGTATTATTACTTTTAGCTCGTGTCAGAAATTATTTATATCTAGTAGCTAAAAAAGTGTATAAAACTTGTATAATTTTTATATATAACATACACAAAAATATGCAAATTCTATAAATAAATAA